CGATTTCAGGTTTCTAAAGAGTGCCGATAAAATGTAAAGTAACAAAAAAATAAAACTGCAATGGTTTTTCATATATGATACCTAAAAGATCATACTCAAATTTTTTCATTAAAATAAAAAGTCATGCAGCGCACTTTTAAATTCATTGTTGGTTTTTTCATTTGGATTGACTCATATAGAATTTAAAGCAACAGTGACACATCCATGGATTTCTGCAGAAATGTGCCGTTATTCATTATAATTTTATGTTACATGTGTATATATTTAATTATATACCGTCACTTTTTGTATTGTGTCACTAGGTATGCCTTAATTTGATATTTTTGTATAACAATAATAATAATATGGGTTCCTTTTCGACTTGAGTCACTGTAGCATTAAAAATTATGTTTATCTAAGTGGTTAAAGAAATTTGACATAAAAAACTAAAATGTAGGTATGTAATGTAAGTTTTAACGTTATACGTAGAACTTTTTAATAACGTTTCTTTGTTTAAAAAATAATTTAAATCTAACAAAAATATACATCCAATTTCTTTCCTTTAGTTTTGTAAAAAAAATTAATGAAATAAGTAGATTGTTCTTTTAAGATAAATATATTATAAATGGTTTTATAAAAATTTAAATAAAGAGTCGTTCATGAATATTTGTTGTGTTTATTACTTTTTAGAAATGCGGTCCCGTACTTCCCGAATAATGGGCATTGTAAATTTATTGGACGCATCAGAACCTAATAATATCATGGTAGAGTGTGTTATCAAGCAAGGAGTAACAGAGGAAGAAACATCTTGTCAGTCTACAAGAATAAAATTGGTATTAATAAAAATAAAAAAAACGTTTACTTTCATTCGATCAAAAAATAGAAGTACCGTTATTTCCAAAACTTATAAAGACTACTACAATAATATTTAATAATTATCTATTTGATATTTTTTTTTAAGTTTTGTTTTAGTCTTTTGCTTATTATTACTTAAAATAAATTTTGTTTACTTTTAGTTTTATTTCATTTTTACATTGTTATTTTATTAAAAATTAATAAATAAATTATAAGGAACATTGTCACAATATGAAAATAAGGTCAAAAAATGGCCAAATTGCCTTTAACATGGTGTTTGAATAAAAAATAAAAATGTATATAAAATGTGGGCTATTTTGTTATTTAGGCATACTTTCTAAAAAACAGTATTAAGAAATTTAAAAAGCGTTTTATCAAAAAATGTGATTTTTGAGTTGTGTCATTGTTGTTTCGAATGAGCGAATCGTAGTTGCAACTTAATTCCAATATTCAAAAATAAAAAACAAATGTAGAATTATTTTCACCCAACAAAGTAAAAACACATGTGGTTATCAAAATTTTATATTTACCTGTCGGACTTTTCCCAGTAATTGTAAAAGATATTTATTTCTAAACGCAAATAAAACGTTATTCAAAAGCTCTAAGCAACCTCTTTTTTAAATGTATTAACTTAAATATTATTTATAATGTTTTCTGCACTAATTTAATTAAATAATTTTGAGAAAACTTTTTCTTTTATAACTTTATTGTAGAAAACTGAACAGTATTGATTATATAAGGTTTCAACATATCCTTCTAGAGGGAGCCAAAAGCTGCTTACTATAAATAAGACCAAATTCAAATGGGAAACTATATGGCTCATTTACTATTCGTATTGAGATTTTTTGATGCATACATTGGTTCAATCTGTATAGTTTCCACAAATCAACAAAATTACATACAAAGGTCCACTGACTTTGCTACCGACTATGCAATTTATTAAACCACTTTTTATTTTATTTGCTTTTATATATGGAGAAATCTTAAGAAAATAAACTTCTAGGAAGTAAAGTATTTTTATTTAATTTGGTTTAATTTTATAATTTGGATATAAAAGTTTGTTATAAAATAGGCAATATATATTATATAAGTTTACTAAAATACCTTTTAATAATTTTTAAAATATTGCCCAAAATAACGATCAAACAAACGAGGAAGATAGAAAATAGAAAGATTAGGCACTAAATACTGAAATATCCATAATTTGTTATTAAACAAAACAATAGCCTACTCTTGAAAAATGAATTAATAGTTGGCTGCTTTTTCACTTGTACCATGATTATTGATCATTGATTAACCATGGGATACCAGGGTATCCCAAAATTTAACAGCCAATTTATATGTAAAATTGTCCCCTGAATCCGAAAATGTCATCATAATTTAAAAAAACAAAACAGTTTTTGAGATAAAGTCCATTTTCCACGGCACGCGGCATACGCGAGTTCAAACCCCGGTTACCCCCAGTTTTATCTGTTAATTACACTATAGGTAAATTTTTAACTTTTGAAATATCACAGCTAAACACTCGGACACGTAAACATAATTTTTGGTCGTAGATTCCAAATCCGTGCTCGGTTTAGCTGTATCAGGTCTAAAAAAGTTTTTCCAATTGGATATCCGATCCGGGGACACACTGTATACTGGTATATTATAATTTGTAAAATAATATAAATCACCTCTTGTGCTTTTTATTTCATTTAATATAATATCCTCAATTATACTCAATAAAAAAAAATCAGCAAAAAACACTTCAAATTTCCTAAATTATCTAAGAAAAACCCTTAGGGACACGTGTATATTTTGATCAATTAACTTCAAATTTTCCAAGAATTTGTTATTTTTTAAATTTGGAACTGATGTGTGGGTCCCGCCAAATGTAATTTAAAAAAAATATATACAGGGTGTTTAAATATATACAGGGTGTTTCCAATATCTTTGAATTTTGACCTGATACATCTAAACCAAGCACGGATTTGTAATCTACGACCAAAAATTAAGTTTACGTGTCCGAGCGTTTAGCTCTGATATTTTTCACCTCACTACAGTGTAATAGTTGAATATTTTTTTGCTGCTTTAAACTAAACTTTTTGCACCTTTGTTTTTATGGGCCATTTAACATTTAGTCTACATGCATTTAACTATAACAATAATTTGTTGTTGGCCGCAAAATTAAAAAGGAATAAAAAAATTAGTTACTTGTTACTTTTAGAAACAGTCGACAGTTTGAAATTAATCAAACTTTAACTATTTAAGTAGTAAAAAATAACTATTTTAAAGTGAAAATGACTTTCATTTTAAGAGAGTAATACTGACTATAATAGTTCCTGGCAGTACTCATTGATGTGACCAAAGAACTGCTATTGTCAAAGTAATCCTCGAATCTCATGTTTTAGTTTAGGAACTGTTATTAGCATAAATCTTTTCCTTCAAAAAACCCCAAAGAAAGAAATGTAACGGCGTCAAATCGCATGATCGGCCTAATAACTCAATAATTCCATGGTTTCGTTGCTGTGCAAATATTGTGTCAACCGAATCTTGTACGCATAAAAATGCAGGTCTTTGGCGCTTTAAACTGCTTCGAGAGAGTCTCAATTGCTGGGAACGGTGGCGAATCGAGGTGGAAGAATTTGTTCAACACTTTCACTAACTGCTTCAATATTTTCAGCAGACCGAGCTGCACGAACACGGACATGTCTCTTTTTGGTTTGAATTGACCCAATCGTTTCAAATTGCTCGATTAATCTTCAAACCGCCCTCGGTAGTGTAGTAGTTAAAATAGGCGGTACTAATGGGACACCCTCTATTATTTATATTATCTATTATTAATACGCTACAAATAGTTCCATGATAAATCGTGCAAATGTTTCCCTTGAAGTAGGAGGCGACCTATTTAAACACATTTTGTTTCTACAATACCTATATTGTATTAGTTTTAAATAAAATCATATCATAGCATATATTAATCTTAATTATTCTTTTAGTTTTTCAAGTAATGATATGAAACTTAAAGTAAACTATTCTTTAAAAAATTGTAGTTTAATCCTCCTAAATTGCGCACGACCCTGCCTAATTTTAATTAAGTGAAACACAATACTTAACAAATGATCACACAAATTCAGCATGTCCTCACTGGCAGGACATGCTGAATTTTTTGAAAACATCTGAGACCATTTCTGGTGTTCTCACGATTGCTTCCATAACAAAAAAACTAAAATCCAACGTCTTTGTGGCATCAATTAGGCGGACAATTTCAAAAAATAATAAAATTTGGACAGCTATTTCTTTTTTCAAATTTCCCCTATGAAGATTTTGGCAATGTCCTGGTACGGAAATAAACTATCAAAAAAGTTAGAAAGCAAACAAACACGAAAACTCTGTACTGTACAGGGTTGTCAGGCCTTCTTTATTTAATAGAATAATATTTAGGGACTAGTAGTAAAAGTAAAGTTTAACCCAAAAAATAAGTTTTTCAAATTAGGTGGCTCAGTGTCTAACCCTAGGCGCATCTTAAACAAACCTAAATCTGTCCGTGCCAATATTGCCCTTCCCCCCATTTCAACGTTGGCAATCGAAACATTGTTTATTTTTTATCACCATTTTACTTTTACTTGAAAAAGGAGAACTTTTGTGATATGTTAAACAAATATTAGAAATATTCCCCAAGACCAAAATAAAACAAAAAGTACGCATCTTCAGAAGCGAAAAATAGTAAATTGGGGGTTAGGCAAGGATGGCACTAAGCCCCTCAATTTAACACCAAATTTGTTGAGCAAGAGTGTATTTATCCAAGATATTTGCAAATTTTCATAAACTTTATCAGAAAGTACGTTTAAGGGATTAAATAATTTATTTTTAATGGTCCCAGTTTTTTTTTAATAAAATTATACAAACAGAATATTTTAACATTTATTTAGATATGATATAAAATATATTTCAAATAATATTATAATACAAAATAAATATAATTATACCTAATAAGATTAACTTAAATACAGACTATGTATAATTTAATATAAATTTAATGAATGATACACGTATATGTTTTGACAACATAAGAGATTCAATTAATAATTCACCTACATCAAAAAAGGTATTTAATAAACTGCCCAAATGATTTTTTTAAACATATTACTAATGTATTAGTAATTAATACTTGATGAATAATACTTAATGTTTATTAGTAGTATCAATAATTTTTCGTATTTTAGACAATGTGCGAAATTGATGAAACGGGCGAGGGTTCTTCTCTAGTACTTGTTCCTGAAAATAAAAAATAAAAAGCAATTAGCACAAATTATACATTTAAGGATTTAATTTTAAATTTAAATTAAAAAAAGAATTAAATTTATAAAAACACGTAATAGCAAATAAAACATGTTATGGCAGTCAGTGGCGGCTGGTGGATTTTGGGTATACCAATATTTCAGTTATTAGACATGGGACCCACACCAAATTTATAATAGTTTATAATGACATTAAATAGACAAGTTCGGCGCAAACAGAATTTAAATTGAAGTTTGCGAAAAAAAGTTAGTTTTTCCTGTCGCCTCACCCGCCTCCAGGCTCTACTATAATTTATCGACAAATTTAAAATTTTATTTTAAAAATCCAAATATTACAGATTTTATTCGATTTTAAATTCTTATTGTTTATTTTATTAATGTGGAAAATAAACGATAGTATTCTTGTAATAAAAAAAAACAAATATTCTTAAACAAAAATGGTATTCTAAAATATTTAAATAAAAAAATAAATAAATTAAAGTAAATGTTCAAATAGGCCCCCAAACGCTGCTGTACAATAGGTTAACCTATTATAAAAAATTTGTCGTACCTTTGACAGCATCTCAGGTCTGATATTCGGTTATTTGCCCTGATATGCTGAAATCCGTAGATTTTGGATTTGGCATATCCCCACATAAAAAATCGCACGGAGCCAAGTCCGGTGATCTTGCTGGCCAGAGAATATTGCCGTGACCACTTATTATGCGGTCTGCAAAAGTGTCTTGCAAATATTCTCTTACCAATAGGGTATTATGTGCGAAACATCCATCCTGTTGAAACCATACTGACTCAAAAGGCACAGGCAGAGCACGAACTGCGGGAACAATTTAATTTTGCAGCAGTTCAAGATACTTTTGGCCATTTAAGGTACCATCTATAAAAAATGAACCTATAATATGGTCTTCCAGCATTCCACACCAAACATTTAATTTTTGTGGTCGTTGAGAATTGGCAGCATAATGCTGATGAGGATTCGTCCTGGACCAATACCGATGGTTCATGGAATTATGCCTACCATGTATAAAAACGACGACTCATCGGTAAAAAGGATATTTCATGTGAAATTTTCATCCCGGTTCGCCATTTATATAACGGTTAACCGCGAAATTTCGCAAAATTCCATGCGACGGTATCATCAGGAAATTGCTCATTACTCCTCTTTAATTTGTATGGGTAATACCCATCTTAAAATTTTGCCTACCATAGACTGTGATAGATCGAACTGTTCGGCAACTTGTCTGGTTGACTGGGTTGGATCTTGTTTGATGCTTGCACAAATTAAAGTGTCCCGTAATTCGCGTTCTTCATTTACTGGCCTTGCTTGCGGTTCCCTATTATGAACCTTATTAACACAGCCGAATGTTAAAAAATTATTTACAACATTTCGAATTGTTGCCCTTGCTGGTAAGGGTCTATTTGGGAACATATTTGGAAATAATCTTTGAATTTCTCGATCTGAGATCCCATTTAAATGCCACGTTATAAATTGAATCTTTTCTTTAAGGGTGTAAACCATTTTTATTAGAGAATATTTCCTAATTTATAACAAACGTACTTCCGCTTACTTACAACACATTCACAGCTGTCTTTTTTTAATCTATTAATTTCATTTTAATTGTAATACTCTAATTTAACCGATCTAGGTTGTACCTTGTAGCTCTTTAAATACACAAATACCCATAGTATTCTACCCTACAACACTAAAATGAACTATATGCAATTTCAGTAATAAAAGACAAAAGATCAGTGTTATTGTAATTAATATTTTATTATATACAAATTGTTTATGAAGGGCAAAAGATTATTTTAATTGCAATAAACAAATTTTTTATTTCAATAAAAATGATGTTTTGTCCTTTGGATATACTGCATTTTATAAGCAACGCTATAGCGTTTTAGGGTAGTATTATACTGTCTTATACACATATAAGGATACTTGGTGCACCTTGTATATTAAAATTAAAAATTAAAACTTTATACAGTGTTTTTTGAACCGATGGATTTAAAACTAAAAAAAATTTAGTATGTAACACAAGATGATGTTCTTACATGTCGCCTCCCATTAGCTTACTTGAGTAGTATATAAGCTCAGGTAGTGTTTTATTTTGCGTGTGTTCCACTACACCAAGTTGCCCGACACTGATGAGACGCAAAATATTCATAGCAGGTGATTTAAACACCACACACCAAATGTGGAACTGTAACCGGAGAAACGAGAAAGGCAGAACACTGTGGGAATACGTAATGTAATTCATGTAATCCCACACGGACGAGCCCACTCATTACCCGGACAACGGCTCTACTCCGACAATCATTGATTTCTTCATCCACAAAGGCGTTGAAACCCTGCATGATATCATGAAGATAGACGAAATAGACTCTGATGATATTCCAGTCTCAGCTACAATAAACTAAAAAAACTTCTGCAAAGAAGGTATTTGACTATAAACACACCGACTGGTATATGTTCAGAGACACAACAAACGTGATTGAAAGTCCTGAGTCCATCGAGCGATAGGTTGACCTAATTGTCGATAACATCAAAACTGCGAGGCAGTTAACCACTCGCAAGAAAACAATTAGGCCCCAGGCAGATTGTCTGCCTGCTGACATTCTTGACTTAATAAAGGAAAAGAACAGGTACCGTAGATCCTTTAACAAGTACAGAAGGCAGGCAGACCAAAACAGCTATAATCAACTCAGAACTATCATAAAACACCGTATCGACGAACATATAGAAACAGGGTCTGGTATAATCTACATGGAAAGTCTTAAGGGAGGTCAAAGAGTGCTAATCAAGACAGACAACAACGGAGAACACATCAGTCCAAAGTCAAATCCAATGCTCTTGGCCGTCACTTCGAAAGTGTACACACCACCAATATGCCCTCGCCGACGGCCGAGCAAAGAACTACTATTCAATACGCAGAACAACTTAGAACATCTCCAACTCTGTTCATTAACCACAGAGACTTCTCTAAACTAATGGCTTCACCAGACAACATACGCTACATTTTACGAAAATTGCCTATCAATAAAGCCCCCGGACCAGACAACATAGATAAAATTGTGCTTAAGAATCTCTCTAAGAAAGCAGTCATTTAATGGAAAGAACCCATATTATTTACAATACTGAAAACGGGTAAAAACGCGAATTTGGCCACCAGCTATAGACCCATAAGTCTGCTGAACACGTTGTCCAAGGTAGCTGAGAGGCTAATACTGAACAGGAGCAGTAAGCTAGACAAACGACTGGGCCTAATAACACCTCCCAAATGGTTTAGACCTGGGCACAGCACCGTCCATCAATTCGCCAGGATCGTTCACGATGTCAAGCAGGCATATAACCGAGACCTGTCTATGGTTATGTTATTGCTTGACATAGAAAAAGCCTTCGATACGGTTTGGACGGGTGGCTGATCCAGAAACTCCACCTAATAGGTCTACCAACACATATAGTCAAGCTGTTCGACTATCTCTATCTTAGATGTCGCACATTCAGTGTTAAAGTGCTCGTTAATGCCGGCGTTCAACAGGGCACAGAGCTTGCCCGAAACTATACACCTTATTCACTATAGCGACATACTACACTTCGCTCTTTATGCACACTATTTCTCGTCGGCAGTTGCGAATAAACAAGTTAAAAATTATCTTGATCTACTTAAAGCATACTGTAGCCTCCAAATAAATAAAAGTGGGCTTATTGCCCTAGCAAAGGACGGGTCATGGTGACCCTTAGCCCTTACTTTGAGGATAGGAATGCATGGGTGGGAGTGGAAAAACTATAGCATAGTTAGTCTGGGATGTGGTAAGATATGGGTGGGTGAGTATGGGTCCGCCAGCGGCCTTTACTTTATATAGCAGAGGAATGGGAAGCATACTAGGACAGGTGGTCGATCAAGATAAATCCAGCAAAAACAGAGGTGGTTAATTTCTCGCGAAAGTACACCAACAATATTCGAAAGTGTACAGATTGAAGGGCACGCTATACTGGAGGTATAGTCTTTATTCAATAAATATTTGGTGTTCATAAAAACTTGTGATTGTATCCAACTGGCGCTGCGAACAGGATTGAAAAACAGGTTCGTTCTACAATTTATTTCAGAATCCGGACCAAGAAAGAAGAAAGTCAACCGCAAGAAAAATCAAGAAACTTGTCGACAGAAAGACCTGATCGGACCAAATTCTTCATCAAAGCCAATTTTTGGATATTCTTTTTTTCAAGATTATGTGGTATTCCCTCATTTTCCTTCCGTAGGGGAGACCGGGGCAGCGAGGTCCACCGGGGTAATAAGGACCACACAGTACGTTTTAATTTGGCGAAAAATTTCACGTAAGTAGGTTGACAAAACTTCATGCCAGTGCTGTGTTAATGGTGTCCGACCATAAGCAGCTGTTTGAAAGTGCTACAAAGAAATCAAAATTTCATGCTATTGCATGGACAAATGTTACGAGGTGATTTCCTGCCTAGCGACATTTGAGGTAATGAGGAGCACTTAATTTGGGGCAAGCAGGACCGTGGATGATTTATGTATTTATTGTGAAACTCCGTACAAAGAGAGTAAAGTTGGAGGAGGAGACTGGGTCCAGTGCATAAGTTGTGAGCAATGGGCCAACGAAGAATGTGCGGGGGTAGAAGAAGATGACTTTTTCATTTGCGAGCTGTGCGAATAATTTTTAAATTTTCAATTTGTGCAGGACGCAACATAATTTGCTTTTTTTGTTTTTATTTAATTAATTTATTTAATAAATTCGTTAAAAACTATCAAGAGGTATTATTATTGATGCCTGCAGGTGTTTCAAATGGTGGACCTTCTTACCCCAAAACCCGGGGCATGCAGGACCAATGTAATAAAAGTGTTTTTTTATCTCTACCAAAAAATGTTACAACTTTTTTTTTCGGTTTTGTACTAAATTAGTTAGACCATTTTATATAGGTTTTCGAAAAAATTGCTTATGTCTATACTTTCATATATA